TCCCCATCATGATATGCAGGGTGTGTAGACAAAAAGCTTTTTATCGGCTAATTATAAGAAAAGATAAACAATGTAATAATTCATGTGATCCATAATGGGCAAAAAGCAAAAGACTAGCCTCCCCTCAAGAAGAAAAATTTCAGACCTATGAAAAGGACGACAGAACTAATAAAAAAAATTGTATTTACTTAGAAGAATTCAGAATGTCAACAAAACAGCTGCAACTTTTTTTTTTTTTTGCAATTACAGCGTGGTATTCAGTTAACAGAACAACAATTATTTCATATAAGCTGCATCAGAGACAACCGAAGATGAAAACACTACCATCCCCATATATAACTAATTTGTACTGTGCACAACAAGAACCTGCCTTAAATTTCCATGCCAATCTCCAACCCCCATACTGTACCAGGCAAGGTTAGTGGCTACTGAAAATACCACCAGGACAGGGCTATCTAAAGACACATTCGGTATTGTGTTAACTATAGAAAAAAAAAGACACTGTACAGTTTAATAACAAATCTTACACAGCCTTACATTTCATTTTTTTTCTTGAAAAGGAGTGAGTTACGTACAGGGGGGTTAAATGCTTTATAGACAAAAAAAAAATAAACTGCACTAGAACCAACTTACTCATCCTCATCTTGTTTATCTTCTCCATCCTGTCCGTATTCCTCCCCTTGCTCCTCTTCCTTCTTTTTCTTGCTTTTTTCAGCCTTGACGACTCCCTTTCTCGCTGCATCAGGCTTTCCTTTAGCTCGGTATGCAGCAATATCCTTTTCGTATTTTTCCGTCAGCTTTGCAGCCTTCTTTTCCTCAGGCTGCTTGTCACCCGCAGCAGTGTTATTCCACATCTCTCCCAGCTTCTCTGCAACATCACCAACGGATAGGCCGGGATGTTCTCCTTTGATTTTCGGGCGATACTTAGAACAGAACAAGAAAAAGCTCGAGGGAGCCTCTTGGGGGCATTGGGATCCTTGAACTTCTTTTGTGTTTCCCCTTTAGGAGGGATATACGTTTTCATTTTTCTTTCATAATGGGCCTTGTCCACCTTTGCCATATCTTTAGATTTTCCTTTCTCTTTAGCAGACACGGTCTTCCACCTCTCTGAGCACTTCTTAGTAAACCCTGAGAAGCTGACTGAAGCATCTGGGTGCTTCTTTTGTGCTCCTCCCGACAAGTTTGCACAAAGAATGCACGTGATGACATTCTGCCTCGCAGCTTTTTAGGATCTCCTTTGCCCGTGTTTAATTATTTTTCCTCAGTGAGGCACAGAGTCGTCCAGTGCCAGTCCGGCTCTCCCTTGCCCCGGTGCTGTCTCTATCTTCTAAGAGTATTACTGTTTTAGCTCTAACTTTTAGATCACATGGTGTGGGTTAGGGGTCAAAATTCATTGCTTTGCCAGTGAATATCCACTTGTCACAGCACCATTGGTTGCAAAGACTATTTTTCTCCTTTGGAATTTTTTCAGCACCCAGGAAGCTCATCGATTGACTATAAATGTGAGGGCTTCTTTCTGGACTCAATTCTTTTTTTTCTAATTTTTATTTAAAAATATTAAGGGGGTAAAGGTGTTTTTGTTACGTGGATGAATTGTGCAATGTTGCAGTCAGGGATTTTAGTGTGCCCATCACCAGAGTACTGTACATTGTGCACATAGGTAAGTTTGATCCTTCGCCCCTCTCCCACTCTCACCCCTTCTAAGTTCTCAATGTCCTTTACGAACACCAACATATGACCGTGTGTGCTCATCATTTAGCTCCCATGTGTTAGTGAGAACAAGTGGTGGGGTTTTTTCCATTCTTGAGATAGCTCACTTAGGATAACGTTCTCTACTTCCATCCAATACTTATGTATTCACTCAATCGATGGGCCCTTAGGTTGATCTACATCTTTGCATTTGTGAATTGTGCTCACATAAATATTAGGGTGCAAGTGTGTTTTTGATATAATGACTTCTTTTCCTTTAGGTAGATACCCAGTAGTGGGATTGCTGGATCAAATGGCAGGTCTATGCTGTTGGATCCTGCAATTTCTCTACTAGGTATATATCCAGATGACCAAAAATCATTTTACAACAAAGATATTTGCACCAGAATGTTTATTGCAGCCGAATGCATAACTGCCAAGTCATGGAAGCAGCCCAAATGCCCACTGATCCATGAATGGATTAACAAATCGTGGCATATTATGCGGCCATAAAAAACATGGAGACATTATCTCTTTTATGTTTACATAGATGCAGCTGGAACACATTCTTCAAAGTAAAGTATCTCAAGATTGGAAGAAAAAGTATCCAGTGTACTCAATACTATTTTGAAACCAATATATAACCACCCACAATTTCATATGAATGATAAAACACAACTCTACCCTAGAATGAAAGAGGAAAGAGGAGGGTGAGGGAAGGGGAGGGGGGAGGCCGGATGGAAGAAGGGTAATCGGTGGGACCTCACCTATTGCCCATAATGCAAGGGTACACGTCAAATGTATGAAGAGTGGAGTATAGGCTCGGCGCCTGTGGCTCAAG